TCGGGACTGAGTTGCCATAACAACAAACTGGGCCGGGGTGCTGGTTTCACCTTCGCTGTCTCACCTCGCACGGCGCTCGCTCGCTTTGCTGCAGGATCGCAGGCGATGCGGCTCCCATACAGATGTCTGAAATCACAGGCTGACCTTGAGAAGCGTTCCTCCTGAGAGCTGGGGGGGGGGGGAGCATGATTCACAATCTGCTGCTTCTGCCACGCCACTGCCCAAATGGCGGGTGGCACGGTGGCACTCGGGTGAGAGTGATGCGGCCTCGTGGTGAAGGCAGGGGCCTGCCCTTGGCTGGGCTGGGCTCTTGGTGAGATGAGAGGCTCTCTGACAGTAACCTGAACTTAAGCGACCGCCAGTTTCAGCCAGCTGCACCGACCACGTTTCTCCACTTGGGGTGGAAACAGGCTGTGATCATTTGAGATTTTCAGATCACGGCGAAGCTTTCTGATGTAGAGAGAAGGGAGGCCTGCTTGGATGATGCAACACAGCCTGATCTGAGAGATGTGCAACCACCATCATCAAAGAGATCCGAGTCCACATCAGCTCTGCCATCTACGGTACCTTTTTACTAAGATCTTTGGCACCAGCGGCTTAGGAAGGAAGGTGTAGGCAGTTAATCACATCTGCTCTGCGAAGAAATGAAGACTTAAACACTTCATTTAGACAAACAATATTAACCTACCAGAGATGAAAATGCGCAGATGGCATTTAAACAGTCCAGAACCATTTCTTTTAAAAATGTTCGGTATGAACATCATCAGTATTACTAATTAAGGAAAACATTTCCTAAATACAAATTTAACAGCTTCTGACCTGTTTTAGGGGCTGAGGGGGGGGGCTTGATTAAATTGAACAGTGGTTATAGATTAGTTATGTCTGATGCGGGAGCACCAACTGAACATGTCTGATGGATTGTTATGACATGTCGTGCTAGAACCAGCCACAGAGACAGGCCAGTGTGTGATTCGCCGAGTCCCTATTCTCTGAAAGGAAGTCCCACTTTTTTCAAAGTGTCAAGTGATTGAAAGAGCCCCCCAGTTGCAAGCTCAATAACCACTACACTTAGTAACTGATTATTATGGGTTGTGGCCCCTGTATGGGCCATATTCCACACAGCACTTCCATAATAAATGGGCATTATGGCTTACAGACACATAAACCTGTCCTCAACTCCAACAGCCTCTGGAGAGATTGTTGATAAATATCAGGCCATGGACACATTCGATCATTTCGTATTTCTGTACGTAGCTGAATCGTAACTTCAGATAACTTCTGATGAAAATGGCTATACGGCAGTGACAAAAGCACCAATCCACAGCAGATCAATACAACTTTTGTGTAATATTATCACCAGATGGAAGCAGAGAGCGGATTCCTGTGTTTGACAGGGACAACTGGGACACACAAGTGGAGACGTGCGCGAGCTATCGATTTGTTCTCACAGTGACAAACTGCCTCGCAACACCTTTTCAGGGTAAATGTGTTTGTTTCTGCAGGAAGTGCAGAATACCACAGAGACCTGAGCCTTGGCACTGCGGGGGTATGTCAGAGTTACTGGGAAATCAGCCTGTTAATTGGTACAAGTGATATGAAGAAAGAAAAACAAGTTTTGCTCAGACTTGTAATGACGTGAAGATCTGTTGTTGCCTTGCATTGTTAAGAATCATCACTGAATGCAGACATACCAACGCTAAATGATCAGCTTCTCCAAACGCAGGCTATGGCACACCACCGCTTCTGTGGCTCCTTTCAGGTTTGCGTTTATCAAAGGATTGATTTCTCCAGTCTGTTCATAGCATTGAGTTAATATCAACAGCGTGGGAGAGGATTATATCTGCCAATTACCTGTTAGTCCATAGATTATAGGCTGTACCGCTGGGTTACTTGTTTATTGATCTCTTGTCTAATATACCGAATGGATAAAATCCCACGATGCCGCTTCCTGCTTGCTTTCCACAGCCGAAATTTATTGGAGCTCTGACCCATTGTTCTGTGTTTACGGACCGACTTTTGGAGATATAAGTGAGGCCAAAAGGGGACGGGGGCCACCGGGCTTTGTGTAATTACCTTCTTTGTGCGGACATCCCAAGAATATAAGATATAATCTGGAAATCAAATCCCTTTCTTGGAAAAAGTGAATACCTGTCTGTTTTCAGCCTTGGTCCATCTGCGGCTGAATGAGCAGCACACCGACGCATCCTTTGCGACTTTCTGCATTCTGCCTTTATTATTGATGTCCTTAATGCGAATATCCTGGCCTCTCCTCCCTGAAGCTGCTTTCTTTATATACAGCAGGCTTTACACAATACCAGGTTTTAATAGCGCCACACACTGGAATGTTCCCAGCTCTGTGCTACACTCTGCTCCCCCTACCTGTGCTCTGGTCTTACTGAGCTCTTATTCATTTTCCAGCCAATTTTGGTGGGATGTTCTGAGATCTGTCCTAAAACTATGAATCACCATCACAGAGCCTCATGTGATTTCATGGCAGCTTTTTTTTATCAGCCCATCCCTACCTCGTTCTCATTGTTTATGACATTTTAATGGGGACAGAGACAAGCCACTCAGAGACCAACGAGCCGGAGTTAGCGGGTTGTCCGCACAAGCGTTCCCGAGGAGGTCAGCGTGTAGTGTTATGTATGCATGAAAGCATCATCGCCATGATTCAGACCAGTCATGTGTGACATTCAAGGATGAAGAGTCTGGAGGATCATGCGCACATTCACATCGCTGCCTGAGCAGCCCCTAATGCGGCAGCTTATAGACATGCCGGGGTCTGACCCCTGAAGGACAACAGATGCTGTGCAATGCCGTGACGACCCCTAGAGGAGGGCAGGTGCTGTCAGATTCTTGCGATTGACCCCTGAAGGACCGTCGATGCTGTTGGACGCCGTACCAACCCCTGAAGACCTAAAGATGCTATGAGGCAGCATGACCGACCACTGAAGGACAGTAGACGCTGTTGGACGCCATGACTGACCCCCGAAGGACCATTGATCCTGTCTGCATGGGTCCTTCACCCAGAGTCCAAACCCCCCCTGCCAGCTCCACTAACCATCCCATAGCTGCTCAGAGCTCCAGCTGAGCTTCCAGCAATCAACCACTAGGTCTGAGCAACCAGCAGACTGTGGTCAGGGAAACAGATCTCAAGCCAAACATAGAGCATGACCAGAACCAACTGGATCAGCGGATAAGGCAGGGATGGCTGCCAGAGAGACAGGAGGTCAGGGAAGGGGGAATGCTGGCAGGATTCAGAGCGAGGACCAGGCAGGGTGAACAGAAGCGCAGACAGCTTGGAGACTATGGGGCGTGTGAGGGTCAGGAAAACCGCACGTAACTGAGGGACGGAAATACCAAGCAGTCCTCCATGCTGTTTCCAAAGGATCAGGCTGAGGGTTCATTAGTGGGCAGAGCACCAGGGGCTCTTCTTCCTCATGGGCTCCTGCCGTAGCAAAGGGAGCAAATGTGGATCAGACTGCCCTCTTGTGTCTGTATTGGGTCAATAAAGTGTACCTTATCTCATATAGATAGGCACAATTTTTTCAGCAGTTTATGTTACTGTTGTTATAGCAAATTAGTGATCAAACAAAATTACTAGTAATTATCTGAGAAGTCTAATTTGATTTGAAATGAAAGCCAGTATGCTGGGGTTCCTTTGAAGATAAAGTGAGGTAAAATGGTTCATCTGCTCTCAGATCCATATCGATGGGAACCTTCAGAACCACGGACAACCAGAAAGGATCAGGCATCAATGACCAACACTGCCCTGGCAGCCTCTAGATTGCTGTCTTTCGGAATAATTCCAGCAGCGGGTAATTTCATTCCATCATTCATTCAGAGACATAGTAAAAGTTAATTTAGAGATAATTAGCAAATTATATTTAGGTGTCTGGAATTCCATTACACCCCCTGAGAGTAGAGGTTACAGCTCTGCTTTTTCTCACTGTCTTTTAGCTAAAATAAAAATAATCTCAGCAACCACCAGGTACACCTTGCTTGGACCAAGTAGGACTTGGTTAGCTGCTTACAAATAACTAGTGCCCAGAAGAATCCACTTTTCAAGACACACATAACGAGATAACGAGTTCCAGGCAGGACCCACTGTAGCCTACAAAGCAGCCCGAATTCTTCAAAAACATGAATTAAAATGCCAGGATGTTTCCTTGTGGCATTTAGTTCATGACTTATCTGCATTTTTGGTTGTGCTGTTAGTTTTAACAAGCCTGCCATTCTCCTCTGACCTCTCTTACTAACACCAGAACTGCTGCTGGCTGAACCTATTACGTTTAATCTTAGTAAGCTCTAAAAACAGGGGGGCGGCTTTTTCGGGAAGCATCACGCACCAAATCACTTGTACCACATATATGGCCCTCTCTAAAGCAGGGGTCTTGACATATGGACCTCGATTCCAAATCCAGGCAGTTAGTTTAATAACGCCGGCCGACATTTTTAAATTTTTTGTTAGGTGATTTAACAAAAACAAGTGCATGTTCTACAGTTTTTAAAGTAGTCTCAAAATATGGCTTCCAATTTGCCGCCGTACGTCCGGTTTTGTCACAATTTACAATTAAAGTTCAACATAAATTGTCACAGGCCACGCCCACATACACATCAATCCACAGCAACCATCCCATCACCAACATTACACTAGATTATTTTCTTTATTACTCCATAATCAAGCACGCATGCTTCTGACACCACATTCTGCCCCAGCATTCAGTTGGCCTTCATGAGAGATCACCCCCCCACACACACACCTGGGGCCCAGTTTTATTGGGTTTGTTTCCTTCCTTGTTTTCGATCTTCTCTCCAGATTTCCATAGCTAATGCCACCATCTGTTGCTGAGCTGCTGAGGCCTGATTAGGATTTCAATTTGCTTTCTCCTTCTAAATTCAGTCTTAAAGGGACAGTGTCCCCCTCATGAGAGTCACAGCTCCACGCTGAAACACCTTGAGAAGACGAGGGCAGGGCAAACAGAGAGTATGGATACAGCTTGGGAAAACCGGGTTTATTTAAGAACAAAAACTTTACATCTCTAGCTGCTGTCTTCACAGGGTCGTCGCAGGACAAGCTGAATGGGAGAGATGAGGTAGATTAAAGAGAGAGCACAGATGCAGGAGCGAGTGTGCATGCATGTGTGTGTGTGCTCTAATACGAGATGCCTCCTCATCGCAGACGTTTCTCAACACATAAGCGGAAGAACAACACAGACACACAGTTACCTATATCTTTGTGGGTCACTCCATTCATTTCTATGGGCATAACCCTAATCCCTACCCAGCCCTAACCTTAACCATAAGTAAGCAAACAAAATACAAGACTTTGGGCATTTTAAGTTTTTTGATTGCCTTCACAGAGTTTATAAAACTGAGTTACGCTTTGGAGGGACCAAAAAAACATCCCCACAAGGTCAAACAAGATTTTGTCACACTTAATATAGGTACATATACATCACCACACACACATCTGGCTAAAATTTCCAACAGCATTCAGGCACTGAAAAGCTGACTTCTATGGCATGGGAAGTTACATTACATGAACTACGATCATCAGAATTTTGTAGATAGTAGAAAAAGTCCTTTGAAAGGATATGTCATCTCAGAAGGATACAGTGTCCTGCTGAGCCACAATAGAGGGCCGTAACTTGGCATTAATATCTTAAACAAACAAAACATTAAACCAAAGTTACCAGGAAGGAACGAGGCCTTCGGAGGAAGCACAACACAATAAAAATAACCACAAATATGTACAGAAAAAAAAAACATTTTTCCACCAAGCAGGCAGAGAAGCCTCTACTGTTACGTTCGATTAGCTGCCTGCATGGTTGAGTGAGCTGCCCCAGGACCAGTGAAGCCCCAGGACAAGTGAAGCCCCAGGACCAGTGAAGCCCCACGCACCGTGTGGGACGCGGCACGGGCCAGCTGCTGGCACCACACAGATCCTTATTTCCTCCTCACCTGCTCATCGCCGTTTCTGGGTCTTGCTCGGATCCCCGGGAGCCTCCTTCGGCCTGGCTGACCTGGCAAATTGCTGCCACGAGTTAAGGCCACATCTACAAACCTCCTGCTAGACCCTGGGAAGCTGGAGAGGCAGCTTTAAATCTGCAGCCCTGCAGGTCCCCCACCTAAGCGCCTGGGGTCACTGCACTGCAGAGGATTGTTCAAAAGCAGGATGTTACACTGATGGAGTGTGAAAAGGTGACCATCTGAACACAGCAAATCTCAGCATTACAGCCAGCAGCTCTGGACAGTCCTCTACATTTACGGGAATATGGCAGCATCACTATAGATAAACACAAAGACATACAGAGGCACACGTGCACAGACACACACGTGCACAGACACACACGTGCACAGACACACAAACCCAGATTGTGAAGGATACCACGATGAGCGGCTTGTCCTGCAGCACGAATCCGTTGGTGTCCCTCAGAGCTTTCGCTGCGCTCGTCTCGCTCGGAAGCCCGACAAACGCCTGCCCCTTCATCCTGCCCTCCTTCATCAGCACCACGTCAAACCTGAGGAGCAAGTTTCTCTAAATGTTCTCCGGCGGTGGACCATCAAAAACGGACATGTCCCTGCCGGCAGACATGTGACCAGACACAGCACTCACATGTTCCTCTCCGTCTCCGAGGACATGTCCACATATCTTCCATAGATGTACCTCAGGTCCTGAATTGGACAGAAAGCAATTAATGGTGATGCAGCGTTTTAGAGGACAGGGTGAGAATCGCAAAGATGTTCATGAGACACACAAACCATGGATCGCAGAGAATAAGTGAGAGTGCGACGGTCACGCGGGAAACGGGGCCTCACCTTCTCCTCCACCTGCTTCGCTATGTTCTTCACGTACAGCCGACATGTTGGATCTCCAGGCTCATAGTTTTTGAATACGGACATTCTCCTAATCTCTGTTGAGATGAAAGGAAAAAGCAGCATTCACACATCTTGTACCCCATCTTCAGAAAAATGCAGCAGAAGGTGTATTTGTACTGTTTTTAATTTTTATATGAATACGCACACACACATACAGCTCTGGAAAAAAATTAAGAGACCACAGCACAATTTTTTGCTTCACTCATTTCTCAATTTATGGGTGAGCTTCTGTGAATAATATATATACTTTTGCCGCCTGGTTCTACTCTCTCTCTCTGATGAAGGGCTTCTTCTTTGCTTTATGGGACTTCAGTCCTGCTTCCAGGAGCCCGATACAAACTGTCCTAGCAGTGCACGTCACACCTGCACTTAATGTTTCCCATTCCTTTTGAAGGTCACTTGATGTCATCCTCTGATTCATGAGGCACTGTCGGATAAGTTGACAGTCATCTCTGGCATTACAAAATTACTTTGGCTCTCTACATTGGCTCTCCTGCTTCACACTGTTCCTGTGTACTGCTGCCTGGAAGCAACCTGCTGCTCATTTTCCTTCCATCAGCAGAACCAGGATTAAACCAGGATTTAAAAATGGAGATAAAATCTAGAGTGGTGTCTTAATTTTTTCCCATGATGTATGGATCAGAGACCCTGACCAAAACCCCTGGCTGATACCATCTTTGGTGAGTCTGCCTTTCTCCAGCTCTCTCCTGGAGATGAAGTCAGAGGGGACCTCAGTGTCCTCATCGCTGTCCTCCTCCACCTTCGCCACTTGGGGCACTGGGTAGATCTTCCCGAAGCCGTCAGCCGGCTGCTCCAAGGTCAAGGTCTCCTCTTCCACAACAACTGGAGAAGACAATGATCTCCATGCTTAGCCCAGTCTCTACCGCAGGGAGCTCACCAGCACAGCCACTAACTCCCACTCAAACTGAACCACTTATTAATCACACATATGGACTCACCGCCTGTCAAGATGAATCAGCAGAGGGCTGATTAAGGTTTTCCATCAGGCTGGGAACTTGGATACCTATCCATGTGAAGGCCCCCAGGGGAAATCGCTCACCTTCGGGCCCCTCGGGCTCCTCTGCCGGGGCCGCAGCTCCTCTTTCCAGGAGCTCCGAAACGTCAGCGGAGATGTGGAACTCGATCTTCTTCTGGCTGAGGGCCTGGGCCTGCTCGAACACGTCCGAGGGCTGCAGAGCGGGGGCGTGGCCACTGAAACAGCAACAGGCCCAGCGACTTAGTGACCAGATGCTCTCCAAAAGGTGAGGAGACACCCCAGCCCCTTCTGGTCATCAGCACCCTCATAAACATCACACATTACAGCATTTCACACCGTTGTCATTTTAAAGTGCTTCTAGCAACCTGACACAGAGAGCATGACTGAGAGAGGATCATCACATGATGTAACTCATCCAAGCATCCAAACGAGTAACAGTCAGCCGCTCATCCATTTTCCAGCAACAGTCTCCATCAGCACTGGGAGGATCCCGTCCACGTGGCAAGATGCAATCTTACCTGGGTGTGTCTGCTTTGGGCGCAAACAGGAGGTCCTTCAGCTTGGGTTTCTTCCTCGTGGAAGATCGTTTCGTCCTCAGGAGCCGTTTGCACTGTTGGTTCACGATGCCCATCATCCTGACCATCCTGAGGGCGATGGCAGACACATCGGAGCGCGGGCAGGCGGAGGGTGATGTTAGAGCAGGGTCATATAAAGATGTTATGTAATGACATCCGTCAAAACAGAAATCCCTCCTCAGCATGACAAATTCACCTCTGAAGCTCACCTCTCCTTCTCCTCCCCATCCTCACTCTCATACTCGGACTCCTCCTCGCTGGAAAACTCCATCTCCTCCTCCGGCAGGGGAGGGTACTCGGGGGGCAGTGGGGGCATGGGTGGCGGCTGCACAGGAACGCTCTCATACTGGGGGCACAGAAGACCCAGCGGCTTTTAACACGCGTCAGGCAGCACAGCGACAGTGGCTTGGGGTGACGGCGCCCTCGTACCAAAGGGGGGGCGGCAGTTATGGCTCCAAAAGGACACAGTAGATTCATCTTGTTCATCAGGTGAAGAACCTGCATGTTAAAAGGAGCCCCTTAATGCAGATTTAAACTATATACCACTTTATATGAACCAAAATGAGATTATTTTTTTTGAAAGCATTTAAACACAACAGACTACATACCAGTAAATAACAATTTGCTGCTCTGTGACAATACAAATACTAATCCCTTTATCTTTTTTAAATGAACTGGATATACCCACTTGGACATAAAACTTGGGCACACTGACGAGGGCATGCGTGATGTTGGTCAGAATCCTGCCTGATGGAGGTGGGTACAGATACTTCAGTGAGGGATTGACCTGGAATTTCAGCCTGCAGGGGAAAACCACAACATTACAGCAGAAACAAGCCACTACAAAACGCAGATGCATAAAATGTTTACCAACAAAGACGTTAAACTGTTGGTTAAGAAACACGTTCTCAGTCACACATTGCAACTTTATGAGAGCCGGTGAATACGGCGCATCTCGGACTCGGAGTTACACACTCACCCAAGGCTGGGGGCCGCTCCGGTTTCTATTAACGGAGCGCTGGGCTGCTGTCCGTCTTTCTTCTCCTTCACATCCTTCTCCTTAGTTAAGCTGGTGTGAGACAGGGGGTTTAAAAAGGGACTTAAAAAGCTCCGTTAAGTCCTACAAACCTGCGCCGAAGTTTCACTTTTGTACCTGTCCGAAACTGGGGGGTTTTTCAGCACGGTGACGGCGTCCTGGTCCTTCGCAAACTGTACGACCAGCGTGTGATTCAGGATTTTCAGCTGGTGGAGCCTGCCGAGAGCCTGAGGAGAAAGCGGAGCCACAAGGTCACCGACAATGGGACAGGCAGCTGGTGACAGGAGCACGTGACACCAGGGAGCATCTCAGCAGGACCCACCTTGGCTGCGGACTTCTCGCTGGCGAAGCTGGCAAAGGCGGTGTGTTTCTGCGCAAAACAATGACATCGTTAGACTACTGAGAACAGATACACGGACAACAACGCGAGACACGGGCGGCAGGGGGTCCGACACACCAGCAGTCCCCTATCGGAGAAGACTCTCACTGACACCGCCCCAAAGTATCTCAGCAAATCCTCCTTTTCGTCCCGGCTCAGCTCCGAAGGAAGGTGCCGTATGATGAGAGTCTTACTGCGCCGGGTCTGGACCGGATCGCCGTCTTGGTCTGCACATTGATCCATCACAGCGGTGCTATTAGTTAAAACTGGCTAATGCTGCAAACAGGAACTGAGTATATAACCGCGAATAACGTTCATCTAACTGAAATACGTCACTTTACAGATGAAGACTCGCAACACCGTATAATAACCAACCAGCATCTTCAGCTATAGCGAACAAATCTATCTTAATACGATAGTCTCCGACTTTCCGCCTATAAATGTACTTCCGGTAAAGACCATTTATGATTGGTCAGTCAGATAATATACGCCCATCGATGATGTTCGTCTTAAGTTTACTTCCGGTTCAGATCATTTCTGATTGTACATTTAAATACAGTATAACAATCAATGAATTTCATTCGATACTGGAAATAAATACTAGTTTTACCCTTAACTTAACAATAGTTCTTATAAGGTGTGAATGTATAGTGCATATTGTTAAATATCTAGTAGTGTACCTAAATAGTTATTATCTTGTTTTGAAGGGGGCGATATTATTACTATGTAAATTTCTATTCTCAACCGCTAGAGGTCACCATGAGCAGCAGAAAAGGATTTAAAATTTTGGAGAAATCTTAACTAGCAAAACGTGTTGTGAATAGCTTTTTTTCGCAGGTGTGGTGTTTGGTGACAAACAGAAGAATGAGCACGAAGGTAAACAAAAGCCTGCTTCTCTGATCATCTAGGCTTGATATGAATCTGTGATTTTGAGGTTTTTTCTTATCAGCCTAACCAAACACGTGATTAAATATATCACCCTTTAAATATTCTCCTAAAGATAGAGACAGTGCTTAATAAAGCTGAGTGGCTTGCAATAACACTTGTGCACACAGAGAGCAGTGGCTGCACTGGCAGTGTTCAAACCCCACGTGGAATGTGCCTCACAGTCTGAGTGTAAGTACAGCAAAGACAGCACCAGAGCACAGCTAGTGGCCTGACACAGAGGGGTAACAACGTCTCACTCAGCGGGGGGGGGAGTATTAAAAACAGAGCCCAGCGGAAGACATGGCCAAGGGGCAGCTGTACTGTATGTGAGCAGTAAACACTGGACAGGCTCCTCACTGTCTCTGCTGTAATTCACTTGTATTCGGTGTATTTCATTAAACATTTCAAATTACACATTCGTTTATATTAAAATGTCCTAATTTTAACCATTTATAAAGCAAATAAACTTACAAGTAAGACAAAACAAAACAGCCAAAGAATTTAATTATTCCAGTGGCCGTGGTGCTTATTGCAGTGTGTATTATTGCAGTGTGTGTTTGATTAGCTGGGTTAAAGATGACCTTTCATTCAGTCAGTAGGGCACTTATCAGTGGCTTTTTCACGCACATTAATCTGCAGTCTTAGGCCTCTTTCTTCTGTTTATCTTTTGCCTAGATTTCTACCTTAAAAATATGTAATAAAATTTTTCACATTTCTCACAGTTCTGGTTGTAAATGCTGAAGCATCACCTTTTACTTTATATATGAAGCAAAGCCTCTGGTTCAATCTGCTTCATCCACCACTATCGCCAAGGAGCCTCGAAATTCCTGAGCAAATGAAACCTTTTCTTCACGGAACAACCCGGAGCATTCCTTGCCAGGGCAAACAATGGTCCTTTTCAGGCTGACCGGCTCTGAAATTTCGCAGGTAAGGGGCAGAACAGCAGTCATTTTATTCAAACTGAGAAGCCAGCGGTTAGATTTATGGAGAGGGAGCAGCCGTTAATGTGCCCGTCGCTGTCAGCCGGCCAGCAAAGGTCAGGCAGACATAAAAGAGTTTTATTCTCAGCTGACATCAGGTATCTCTGATGTGTCACTGAGGACTAAACATCATTCATACTGACACACTGCAATTATGTCCTATTTGCTGAACATCCAAAAGTTCCTTAATGTAAAAACAATAGTACATACAAAAGGGATCCTGCAGCTAACACTGTTTGAACCCCTAATAAGTTTAATCTGACCAGTTTTCTGTGATATTTAAGATCCCTTTAGAATGTAGCTCCTGCCAAAAACATCAAGACAAGTGTCCTTGTCTCCACTATTCAGACTTGAAGCCCGTATGATGTTCAGATCTCCTTTCCATGGCTGCGATGTGTCCAGGATCCTGGCATTCGGTCTCTCTCAGGGCGATTCTCACTTCCATTTCCCCCCAGCTTTGCAGTTACTGTAAGTGAAGCTCTTCTGTTATCAGCAGCCCATCACATTCTGGCTGGTGATGTGGGGTTTCACTGTCCCTCACACAGCAACGTGCTGCACACGACGCCGTTTGTCGAGCTCCACACAGCAGTGGCCTCGTTCCACCAGTCTCTGCTGCTCTTTGCTCCACCTCAACCTGTCATTGCTTTATTGAAGCCAATATTAATAGAGTGAGTCAGGATTTTCTAGTGGTCATCAGGTGCTGATTAAAAGGAATTTTCCAGAAGCTTCCGGATTCCAGCTCTTATTGACTCTAGTTATGCAACCCTGGTCTCCAGGAAGCCTACAGACTACTATATGATTTTCCCGTTCTGCAGGAGATGAGGATCCCACAGGCCTACCTACATTTCACAGTGAGCCCATCATGCAAGCGCTCATGTCCGCTTTACAGAGCAGTGATGGGAAATAAATTAACCAAAACTGCCTGGAAAGAGTCCGAACTGAGCAAAGCTGAAGGCAGCACGGTTGGGTGGGGGGGGGAAGTAGGGAGGGTATTCAACATGGCAGTGAGGCAGTGAGACTTCAGGACACAGGGAGCATGTGGGCGGTCTGCGGAGAGCCATGCTGCCCCAGCTCATGGTGCTCAGGAGGAACCCAGCAGAACAATGAATACATCAATCTGCAAACCGTTCAGCAGATTCCAGGTGCAGCTGACTGCTGGAGAGACACTGGCCACTGGCAAACACTGGCCTCCCAGAATTTAATCATCAACAGTGCCATCATATCTGTGGTGAACCTTACAAGGGTCCTGCTCTTTTATTTCACCATTGTTTAATTCTTTTCCAGCATTATTATCATTTTTACATGCACCAGTTTGGAGCATAATGATTTATAATCTACAGTAACTGCTTTATCACCATGCCCCAATAAAAAATGGATGTCCCACCATTTCTCAGTTCTTTCTTCTGAAAGCGGCTGACTTTGCGACGCTGGTGCACCTGCGGCTTTCTGAGTAGTTGCTTGGCAGGCAACGCGGTTACTGTAAGCGTCCCGTAAGTGCAGACACAGATTTGTGTCACTGGACTTTCAATGCTTGACTGGAAATTGCGTTTGAGTTTAAAGGTTTGCTGGGTCACTTGGCACCTTTGTGATAGGGGCACACATCAGGCTGTTGATTTCTCAGTTAGTGTCTATTACCTGAGAGTATAAAACTCTTCATAATCTACATCTGTGGTTTCAGTGCTCTGAGAGGACCGGGACACCTGCCAACATCTCAATCCATTCTGCTGGAAACTAAGACAGTTTATTGGTGTCACTGACACTCCGCTCCTGGAATTTGTCCAAACAGACACCTAGTTAAAAGTTAAGTGTTTTGCGTTTGTCTCTAAAGCTACTGTTAGCCAAGTGTTGGCTGCTCACATTTGGTAATTTTACCATGAAACCTGAACCCCAAGCTGGTTGAAGGTCTGCTTTCTGTCTTGTGCTGTGTGTTAATCACTGGACCTACAGGCTCCATCCGAAGAGGAGGACACCATCTTGGTCTGTAGCTGGTGTCACATGAGCATATGTACATGGTGCCTGAGGAGAAGGAAAGGGCTCACAGGCGAGTATTTCCATTCAGTTCAATTTTATTTGTATAGCACAACATTACACTGTGTCAAAGCACTTTGCATAATCCCTGCCGAAAGTACCCGGCCCATTTGTAATTAATGACAGGTTTACAGATTTTAGATGGTAATCAAGCCAGGAGATGTGAGGTTTTTGCCTAAAATAAATGTATTAGAGGACACCGAGGTAACCTCTTGTGAAACGCATTTCTCCAACGATGTTCTTTCGGTTATATCAATACTAGCTTGCAAAATAAGTTATATATGGCTTTATAGGCCATGTAAATGGTGCATAAACAGCTGTCTTAAAAGCCCATTATCCCTTTCGGTCCAGAATAGATTGAAAAGGTTACACGAAGGCCTACTCTGAGCAGAGAGAAAGCGTCAAGAGACTCAAGACTCGGCATTAGCATCACTGAGCGGCTAGCGGAACCCTTCTGGCAAGGAGACATGTGTCCAGCAGATGTTGGGAAGAGCTCAGAATTTCAAAGACAAACAGCTTCTGAGGAAGTCATTGGGGAGAGGGCTGCGGTGTGAGCCCGGGATCCCACCCTCACGAGCCTACTGCCCTGTTTGGGCCAGGAATACTGACAGCAGTGCACCCTGACCCACAGAGCTGCGACCCTGTAACCACCCGCAGGTGTCAGGGGAACAGAAAAGGCAAAGCGTGCGACAGCGTCCGTTACTAACAGCCACAATGCTGTTCCTAACCAAGGCATTTGTGTAACTAACATTTGGTTTTTGTGGGCAATCCATGCTGATCATGTGCTTTACATTAAATGTTACTATATCTTAAACGTATGTATATGAAACCCAGAAACCAATTATCAGCCAGGCATGAGATATATGTAAGCCAAGCTAAATTCAGGACATATATCACAAAGGCACTACATAGTTTTTCAGTGTATACATTTTTTGCTTGAGTCCTTATCGCAGGGTGCCGGCTGTAACGACACAGGTGTTCCACCTTTCAGTGGAGAATGGGGTTTCCCTCGACTCAGACGCAGGGAAACCTTGTGGGGGCCCCAGCTCTGCTGCTCCTGGAGCCCCCGACACACTCCCAGTCTCACCGAGGGAGGTGAGAGAGGCCCGAGAAGGCCCCCCGAGACAGTGAGCCTCTTACATCATCGTGTCTGGACCACAGTGCTTAAGAGCCTTTAAAATAGCTTATAAAGAGAGAGCAGCCTTTAACCACATGTCCTCTCTGAGGCAGGTGTCTACTTACAATCCACAATGTACCAGTCAGAGGAGCTGCAGATATTTAGTGACATACATGTTTGAGAAGGCAGGGTCAGCCAATCTCTAGAACAGTTGGGGGTTAAGGGCTTTGCTCAAGGGCCCAACAGTGAAATCACACTGCCGACCATGGGAGTTGAACCAGCAACCTTCCGATCATAAGTACAGCATCCTAAACCGCTGGGCCACACGCCGCCCCCACAGAAGCCAAATCTTGCAGACGTGCAGGGTGTCTGATGGGGTTTTCTGTGTCTGTGACGTTACGGCTGTGATGGTGACTGGCGGTAGGAGGCAGGAGCGACAGGCTTCCTACACAAGCGCGGGACTGTGGGACTGGCGCTCCGCATGCATCGGCCCATCAGACGACTGATGCTGCTGTTTGGTGGGGGAGTAAATGAGGGGGTGTCGGGCTGCACACAAATTAGAAAACTACTTACACACCACCTGACCGGGAGTGCAGCCATTCCATTAAGCAGTGAAGGTGTTTTTCCATTTAAAAATGACTGCAGACCGCTTACTTTTTCCTGTTTAAAAATCATGCATCTGACAGCCCTGTGATTTATAGTAATATCCAAGACTTTTACTATACATCTGGGTTTTTTTGGTAGTGTATCTTAGACTAATCTGTAATCTGCAATATTTACCTTACAGGCCTATGTTAACAGGGTTCTGAACTTAAACCCAGTGAGAGGGCAGCCAATAGCATTATAGTTTGGGGGTCATTTCCGCAACGAACGTTCACTGTAGCGTGGGGTCTATGACGATACTTGGGGCCATTATTAAAAATGCAAAATTAACGGCACTGAAAAGTTGAAAAGTTACCGTGAGAAATGCGAGATTCCACGCTCACAGAGACAGCTAACATGAGAGTGAGGCTGGTTACAGAGACAAAGATGCACAGCGTGCCCAACCCAAGACTTTTAATATTAAAGATACGGTACGCACTTACGTGAACAAGTATTATTTGTCACCGATATCGTTTTGAGTATTGTTTATATGTTTTCGGATTACACATCATCTCCGAGTCTTTGCAATCCTCCAGCAAGCTCCAAAAATATTCCCATTAAATTCTTCAAGGCCAATTTGGCAATAACAGAAACTGCGAATGTCAGATTAGCAAAAAGGACAGAATATTCCCCTCAGTCCTCACTGCCCTTTGTATGCAGATCTGCTATCTTAGCTCATTTATATTGATTTAAGAAAGCATATGGGGGGGAGAGCAGGTCATACACACCCACAGGGAAGCGGGGAATCCACCCCGAAGAGGCTGAGGGCATCATCTAACAGCTGGTGGCTGGGCCAAGGGGGTAATGAAGCAGCTTTCAAATGATAAGCAGCCCTACAAAACAAAGCTGCTCATCTTCAAAGTGAACAAACCTAAGCGTCTCTTAATCCCCACGCTGAGACATTGAATGCTAATGAACCCGTGTGGCGGTGAACAGACAAGAGGCGGACAGCACGGCAGGTCAGGAACGTCCTTTTAATGGAATGGAGCTTCCATAAAGGATTCAGAGTGACTTCCCGATCAAAATGAGCGACTTTGAGGCTCCAACTGCAGCTGATGCCGCTGGAGCAGCATGGAGGCTGCGGACTCCTTGATGCTTCCAGTGTGAGAGTTACAGTAGCAAAGAAGCCTGGGTGTAGAAGTGAACAGCTATTAAAGACGTGCTACGCTGCAGAAGCCTCTTTGGTCCTGCCATCCGTGATGCTGTCACATGCATGTCCTGTCTGCTCTGTAAGCACCGTTTGCCTGAATGGAGCAGCTCCAAGCCCATCCTCCCCCCCCCCCTTTAATGGGTGTCCCCGGACCACACTGGCACAGGACAGACCCCCCCTCCATGAGTCATATAAGCCATGGTCTGCAGTCCTTCCTATGGAGCATCAGTGTTTTGGTACCAAAGCACAGAAATGTCCCAGTGGCACTGACCAAAACTCTCTAACATGTTAGAGCCCAACGGTCAGGTCCACTAGAGAACCGCTGCCCCTTTCAACACTGTCATACACCTCGTCTTCTAGGACCTAAATATTCTGTCTTGCATTTACTGCTGCCAGTTACAGTAGAAATTCTCACATCCGGGCCACCAAACGTGACCAAAATAAGACTTTGTGCCCATCAAACTGGGCAACTACGGCGAGGAACGGGGGGGGGGGGGGGGGGTTTCATTACAAGACCTGTCGTAGTACATTTACTGCATTAAAAGCCTCATAATCCACTTGGAAACTTAAAACTCCATTTGGCCACATTTTCACTGCGAATTCTACAGAAACATCACAAATGTACAGATCTGTATCATCTGATAAAAGTCAATTAAAATTAATAAAGCGTTTGAAAAGAGCTAATGGGTAACATTAGGAGAACATCACTGAACACGAAGAATCAATCTTCAGGGTTTTCAGGATTGAATTACAGACAAAATGCCACCTCCACCCAGTGTCCGGCAAATCCCGTTTGGTGGCGTGTTCCTGAATCCTTGCTATCAATTTGACAGAGATCTCCAACATCCTCTGCTTCCCTGAATGACCTGCTTGGTGGCATTTTGGGCATGAAGTTATTACCTGTCAGCAAACAGTTTGAGATACATAAATGATGGAAATGAGGAGGAGATTGAATTTGTGTCTTAATTAATGTGATCTCTAATGTCCTATGAGAGCTGTCTCATATGCACACACATGCACACACACACACACCTGTATTCACATCTTTGTGGGGACCATTCATTCAACCACACAAAATAGACTTCTGGAATTTTTAGTTTTTTGTTTGCATTCACAGATTTTTATAAAATTGAGGTTATGCAAATGGAAAATGTCTCAAAAAGTGATCTGTGCACATACACACAGACATGTGACATTTTAAGTTTGTATACAGTATCAGCCAGGAAAATGATAAGTGGTATATTGGTCAATGATCTTGCAGGTATTTTCAAGGGCGAGAGCCAATCCTCACCTGATTTCAGAGTGTGATTATTTTTAGGTGACTACATGGAGATCTGTACTTTCATCACTTGTGTTTTTGTCCATTTTTCCCCGCTACCACAGCTATACCAGAACTCGATTTAACCTGAGGTGGAAATCT